CTCTGTAAATGGGTTTCATCTGTGAACATTGTGTAGAAGGATGTGTTCGGGCCCAGGAAAATCCAACTGTAACTGAGTAGCTGGTGTTCAAGGACTATTCAAGCATATGTGCGCACCTCATGATACACTAAGTGAAGGCTGACTCGGAGAGCACTGCAGAAGGAGCAGTGAAGAGTGAAGGAGCACTGCAGAGAGGAGCAGATAAGAGGCAGAGGACAGAGAACAGAGAGGTGGGAAACAGGCAGGGGAGGAAGTCAGACTAGAAATGGCAATCCTGGGAGTTCCCTGTTGGTCCAGTGGTTATGACTCTGCGCTTCCAATGCTGGGGGCCTGGGTTCGATCCCTGGTCGGGGAACTAAGATCCTGCAAGCCGTGTGGCATGGCCAAAAAAACAAAAAAAGAAAAAAGAAATGGCAAGAGGGTGGAATGTCCAGAAAGGGGAAGGAACAATAGGCGTATTCATTTCTTAGGCTGCCATAACAAAGGACCAGGAACTGGGTGAGTTAAAACAACAGACAGGTCTTCCCTGGTGGCTCAGTGGTTAAGAATCCGCCTGCCAATGCAGGGGACACAGGTTCGAGCCCTGGTCCGGGAAGATCTCACATGCCACGGAGCAGCTAAGCCCGTGTGCCACAACTACTGAGCCTGTGCTCTAGAGCCCGAGAGCCACAACTACTGAGCCTGCGTGCCACAACTACTGAAGGCCACCCGCACACTGCAATGAAGATTAGCCCCCGCTCGCCGCAACTACAGAAAGCCCATGTGCAGCCACGAAGACCCAATGCAGCCAATAGATAAATAAATAAACAAACAAAACAAAAAAATCCAGACGTTTATTGTCTGACAGTTGTGGGGGCTAGAAGTCCAGAATCAAGGTGTCAGCAGGATCACGTGCCTTCATAGTGTCCAGAGGAGAATCTGTTCCTTGCCCCTTCCATCTCCTGGTGGCTGCCAGCCTTCCTTGGCTTGTGGCCACATTACTCCAATCTCTGCCTCCGTCGTCACATCTCTTTCTCTGTCTCCTCTGTCTCCCTCTTGAAGGGTACCTGTGATTACACTGAGGGCCTACCCAAAGAATCCAGGATAATCTCCCCATTTTAAGATCCTCTATCACATCTGCAGTTTCTTCAGCCATATAAGGTAAGTAACATTCACGCATTCTAGGGATAAGGACATGGATATTTTGGGGGCCATTATTCTTCCCACTACAGAGCCCTTCACTCTGCTTAAGGGGGAAGTCCAGAACTGCTGGGAGCATCAAGCTCTGGACTGGCCTCTTGGCAAGGGAGGGGCCACCTGTGTTGATGAGCCAAGTCTGTATCCCATGGGGGGTTGGGGGGACCACCCAGAGTGGGCTGGATCAGAAGAGCCATACTCCAGCCTGGTGCAGACGTGAATGATGCTTCTCAGACCACATGCACACAACCAGTCAGGAAAGGACACTCGCTTCTAGGGATCCCTGGAAATCAAAGTCGAGAGTCGTGAGTAATTTAAGCCAGGGCTCAGCAGACTACAGCCTGTGGGCCAGATACAGGCCATTTTCTATTTTTGTCTCGTCCCCAAAATGAGAACAGTTCTTACGTTTTTTTAGTGATTGAAAAAGAAATCAAAAGAATACTATTTCATGGCATGAAAATTACATGAAATTCAGATTTCCATGTCCATAAATAGAGGTTTATTGGAACACAGCCATGCCATGCATTTACATATTGTTTATGGTACTTTGACTCTGGTGGCAGAGTTGAGCAGTGACCAGAAACTTCACATCCTGCAAAGGAGAAAATATTTACTATCTGGCTCTTACAGAAAAAGTTTGCTGACCCCTGATTAAGAAGTCATAGAGCTGAAGAATTTAACCAGAGGAGCGGCGTGTAAAACAAAGGTGGTTGGAAGGAATTTGCTGGAGGAGGAGAGGATGGGGATGGCCACACTCAGCAGTTGCAGCGCGACTGACTCCAACGCTGCCTGCAGGTGAAGATCGAAGATCGCAAGGGCGCCCTCTCATCACAAGTCAGCAGCTGGCAGGAGGCGGCCATGCCAAGCCCTGCCAGACAGCTAGGAGCTACCTCAGAGCCCTCGGTTCTGAAGACTGACTAAAAGGACACATTGAACTCAGAAAGTCTGTCAAACTCTTAGTTACAGTTTATTACAATGAAAAGGTACAAATTAAAATTGGCAAAGGAAAGAGGCATACAGGGCAGGTTCTAGGAGAGACCAGGCACAAGCTTCCAGGTGTCCCCTCCCAGTGCAGTGCCGGATTCTCCCAGCAACAATATATGACAATAGAAAAGGCTGAGACAGAAACTAATACAGGCAGAAAGATCAATGTCTTCTTCAAGACTGCAGCCTAATTCTTTTTTTTTTTAAATATCTTTATTGGAGTATAATTGCTTTACAATGGTGTTAGTTTTTGCTTTATAACAAAGTGAATCAGCTATACATATACATATATCCCCGTAGCGCCTTCCTCTTGCATCTCCCTCCCACCCTCCTTATCCCACCCCTCTAGGTGGTCACAAAGCACCGAGCTGATCTCCCTGTGCTACATGGCCGCTTCCCACTAGCTCTCCATTTTACATTTGGTAGTGTATATATGTCCATGCCACTCTCTCACTTTGTTCCAGCTTCCCTTTCCCCCCCGCCAATCATGTCCTGTACGTCTGTGTCTCTATTCCTGCCCCCCTTTTTTTAAAAAAAATTATTTATTTTGGCTGCTCCAGGTCTTAGTTGCGGCATGTATGTGGGATCTAGTTCCCTGACCAGGGATTGAACCAGGGCCCCCTGCATTGGGAGCGCAGAGTCTTACCCACTGGATCACCTGGGAAGTCCCAACTGTAGCCTACTTCTTAGCACAAAACACGATGAGGCTTTAAACCCCCTGGAAAACAGGCAGCATCTCTCAAGAATAAGCTGCCTCCTTATCTTGGGGATACCTCAAGTATGAGAACATGAAGCTCATAAAGTACCTAGGCTGGCTTCCTAAATTAATACCTTAAGAAAGAAAGAGAAACAAAAGAACCCACGTATCACTAAGTGCTCTTTACCAACATCAACCCTCCCACACTCCTGTCCGTCTTGGCCACCCCTCCTCCAATGGCCCTCTGCTTCTCACGGTGGTGCCAGTAAGCCTGTCCCTGCATCAGGGCCTTTGTTCTTGCCATTTTCTCAGCCTTGCAGGCTGTTCCCTGGCCTCTGCTTGCCTTGTTTGGGCATCTGTGCTCCTACTCCCTGACCCCCCCCCCATCGAAGTTGGGCCCCCGACAGTCTCTGTGACATCATTTTGCTTTGTCTTCTACAGAACACTTAGCTTTGACCTAAAGAATACTATGAATGGTTTGTCTGGCTGTGGACCGTCCAGCTCTGCCCTGGAACGTGACTTCTAAGGAAGAGAGAAATAAGAACATCTGTGACCTTCTTGTTCACTGCTACAACCTCAGCAGCCAGCCCAGAGTCTGGCAAATATCACAGGGGCCCCTTGAGATAAGGAAAGAACTGAGATGAAGTTTCAGCATGCGACAGATACTGAGTAGGTCCATGGCTCACTGGGACAAATGCTTGGCCTGAAACAAGGCTGACCAGAGGACAAGCCCCCAGGGCCCATCTGCTCCTGTTGCGTCTGGCCTCTTGTGGCTCCTTAAAATCCAGCAGAGACCCTCAGCCCTCTCACAGTCCACCAGTACCTGAGAGCAGGGAGCACGGCCTGAGTGAAGCCAGGAGAGCCCAAGGCCAAATGTACACCCCACCTCTCCCCAAGTGGAGAGTGAGTTTCAGAAGGGCTAAGAACAAGGCCATAATAGGAGTAGGAGTCACACCCACATCTCTCTGGCTCCAGAGTCCACACCCATGGCTGAGCTGGCCCCACCAGTTGGGAAGAACAATCCACACATTGCTGTTTTTAAGAGTGGATTTCTACAAACTGTATGATTCTATTGGTACGAAATGTCCTGAATAGGCAAATCCATAGAGACAAAAAGTAGACTAACGGTTGCCAGGGGTTGAGGAAAAGGAGAAATGGGACATGACTCAAAAGGGTATGGGGCTTCTTTTTGTAAATGTTCTGGAATTCGATAGTGGTGATGGTTGCATAAACTGTGTGATCATACCAACAACCCGAGGAATTGTACACTCTAAATGGGCAAATTGTATGGTGTGTGAATTACATTTCAAGAAAGCTATTACTAAAAATAAAAACGAGTAGATTTCTGGAAGATTCCTGGGAGAAGTCCCTTACCCAATGTGGAGTTTTCCACGGCCATTAGAGTGGAAACATACATGCCCCAGAAAGAGGGACGCAGGTCATAGGTCTCTCCTGGCCCCTCTGGCCCAAGCCTCTGCAGAGACTGACAGGGCAGAGGAAGTCGCAGCTCAGGAGGACAGGCCCAGCTCTGCCCCGCCAAGGTGTGTGGCCCTAGGGGAGACGCTCCCCATTCCAGCCTGTTTCCCCCTTGGGACGGAGGATCCCAGCACTTCCCAGGTCGGCCTTCGCTTCAGCTTCGGGCTCCTGATTGGTCGGACACACACACACACACACGCCTCCCCCAGTTCCACACACACACACACACACACGCCTCCCCCAATTCCACACACACGCCTCCCCCAAGTCCACACACACACACGCCTCCCCCAATTCCACACACACACACACACGCCTCCCCCAATTCCACACACACACACACACACACACACACACACACACACACACACACAGACGATGCGCTCGACAGGCCGAAGGCGGGCAAAATCGCCACAGCAACGACAGTCTCAAGCTTTCGATCGGCTATCAGCGCTGGCGCGCCTTCTCTGCTCCTCCCACCAGGCTCCGGGAGGGGCAAGATGCGCGCGCAGCCCTACAGAGCGGCGGGGCGAAGGCGGGCCAGGTTGCTATGGCAATTAACGTCACGCCCCCATCCCAGAATGCGGCCTCCGATTGGTCCGCGTTGCTGACAACCTCTTAGCTTTCCCCGCCTCGAACACCGCTTAGGTTTGTGAGCGGGAAAGACTCAGAGGATGGCAAACTCGGAGGACGGAGGAGAGCTGCGGTTGCGGGGCCCGGGGAGGAAGGAAAAGCGAGGCTGCCCTGTCAGGGTGTGGAGTTGAGGGGAGGTGTTTTGCAGAAAGCTCTCTGGTCCCTGTTCGAATCCACGCCCTGCCCCGCCCCCAGCCTCAGTTTCCCCATCTGTAAGCTGGACACTTCCGCTCTCAGTGTCCAGCGAGGGCCCCCCGTGGGCCTTATTCCCTCGGCCTGAACACAAGAGGCCCCAATGACAGGAGACGAGTGTGGTGTGGGCAGAGGCCTCCCCGACCCTCGTGAGGAGAAAGGCTGGCTGGATCCCGGTAGAGTGGAGCACTCGGCGCCCCTCGGGGGCAAACGCAGGAGACCTGGCGGAGGGCCTGGAAAAGGTTTGGGGAGTTGAGGGCCCCACGAGCGTGGAGGGGGAGGCAGTGTTGCCAAGATGATGGCTCCTCTCCTCAGCCCTCTGGACACCATCTGCCATGCGAAGTCCCTCGTTCACAAGGTGCCCCGAGTCCCCCCTTGGTACACAGCAGGCGCTCAATAAATACTTGTGGATGAACGAACTCTTCCTGCAAGTAGTTTATTGTCTCCCGTTTTACAGAAGCGAGAACCAAAGTCTGGCCGGTAAAGGCGTCCCTGGGCACCCATGCCAGGCACTGAGGCTAACCCCCACTCTCTGGGTGTTCACAGGCATTGGGACCAGTGGAAGGAGGAGCAAGCCTGGGGCAGATACGTGGGCGGGGGGGGGGGGGGTGCGTCCGGCAGGGATGGAATGGGCATTGGGAGGGCCGGGAGAGCACAGCTCCAGGTGGCCACAGAGGCTGGCAGGCAAGTGTCGGGAGGAGTCCCCTCTGATCCTAGCCCCGGGGTGGTTTCAGGCAGCCCCTTTGTTCGTGGGCAGTGGGCGGGCAGACATCGAAGTCGGCTTCATTTTACGGGAAGAGAGACTGAGGTCTCAGGCTCCCAGCTGGGAGGGTGGAGAAGCAACCCTTCCCCACAGTCCCGAGGAGGAAGCACGTTAGGACAGGGAGGAGCCAGCTCTGCCCAATGCCCTCAGCCACCAGCTCCCCGCTTAGGGCCCCCCCCACCCCCGCCTCAATGCCAGCTGGCGTTACCCCTTAGCATCCTTAAAGATACAGCCCCGGGCTTCCCTGGTGGTGCAGTGGTTGAGAGTCCGCCTGCCGATGCGGGGGACACGGGTTCTTGCACCGGTCCGGGAAGATATCACGCGCCGCGGGGCGGCTGGGCCCATGAGCCATGGCCGCTGAGCCTGCGCGTCCGGAGCCTGTGCTCTGCAACAGGAGAGGCCACAACAGTGAGAGGCCCGTGTACCGCAAAAAAGAAAAAAGAAAAAAAAAAAAAAGATACAGCCCCGAGGCCTCTTCCTCCAGGCAGCCTTCCTTGAACACCCTCAGGCAGAAAGCATCATCTTTCTCTTCCGTGCACCACCAGCCAAGGGCCCCTTCTGACCCCCCTGGCTGGGCCCATCCCTGCCAGTTCTACTCCCTCACCGTAACTCTCCCAGCCTGGGGGGTAGGAGGGAAGGCATGAGGAGGGGCATATTGGATCCCAACCTGGGGTGAAGTGAGGCAGACTCGGGGCTCCAGGGCCTGGGGGGGAGACAGAAAGTCCATGTTTAGTTTGTGCAGAAGGTGGCTGCTATCTACACCACTGTGACTAACCCAGGAAGGCTTCTGAGAGGAGGACCACTCTCCCTGCCGAAGGAGGGCTGAGGCTTCATTCACCCTGGCGTACAGCAGGCTTGCCACAAAATGCTGATGGAGCCCTGGAGGAGGTGAAGTAACCGACGCTGAGTATTTAATGAGTGGAGATGGGGGTGATGAGGGCTCTAGTGGCTAAGGAGAGGGGCCAGGGATGTCCAGGAGCGATCCCTCACCCCAAATCACGTGACACTGTCTGACCCAGAGGGCAACCTTGGCCTCTTTGAGGCTCAGTGACCGCAGCTGCCCCTCAGCATATTAGGAGAATCTCAGAAGCCACTAGCCATAGGGGAAGTCGAGATCCCACTGCAAGTTGATATTCAGGACCCAAGTGGGAGCCAGTTTTTGAGGCTCAGGCCCTGTCTGTCTCTCCCCAGTCCTGGCCAGGGCACACCTCCCCCTTCAAGCCCAAGCCCCAGCCAGATGTGTAAGGCAGCAAATGCAGGACCAGCATGGAGATGGCTGGATCCCACCCAGGCTCAGCCTGCCGGCAGCAACTCCACAGCCTGGGGAGGAGTGGGGTGGTTGGTCCTGCAGTGGGCCACTCACAGGTGTGGCCAGGGAATAGTCTGCCATCCAAAGATGGGGGCCCCCAGCACCTGCAGAAAGCCCAAAGGATGAGTAAATCAGAGACTTAAGCTCTGGTGCCAGCCAAGGATGAGCGTTCTCCTGGAGTTCTGATGATTGGGGTGTATTCAGTAAGACCCTTACGAGGATCAGGGATGGGGTACCCCTAGCAGGGCCACTGCACGATGTTGGTCAGAGGGACCCTGCAGCTGGACTCCCACAAGAGCTGAGGATCGAGTGTACCCCCAGCTGGTTTATGAGTGCCTCCCAGCAGGACCTTTACAGACATGGGGGTCCCACAGCTGGATGCCCACAGAGATTGGTGTCAGGGGTGCTCCTTGAGAGGGTCCCTGCTCTGTGCTAATGATGCCAGGAATGATCCCTCCAGGCCTCTCTAGAGAAATGGGTGCTGGCCATGCGCCCTCTAAGGCCTCCACGGGGATCATGGCGAGCATCAGGATGACACTGGGGTCCCCAGGCCTGAGGCAGGGCCTGCGGCGCGGACGCTTTTACTGCGCCCCCCACCGCCTCCACCCGCCGCGTGCCCGCGGGGCCCAGTCAGGCCAAGCCTCCGCCCCCCACCTGTGGTCCAAGGACCCGTCCGGCGTCTCTGTCTCTTCGGGAACCCCCTCGGGCTCCAGCGCGTCCTCTGCAGCCCCCGGTGGGGCGGCGTTCAGGTCATGGCCCACGGGGCGCGGCATCCAGCCGGGGGTCCAGGGCGCCGCCGGCGTGGGCCGAGGCAGGAACCAGGAGAAGCCGGGCGCCGGGGCGAGCGCCACGAGCTGGGGCCGAGCGGGGCTGGAGGTGGTGGCGCGCGGGATGAGGAAGAAGATGTAGAGGCCCGTGACCACGAGGCCCGCGGCCACAAGCACGGCCAGGGCGACGGCCGCGTGGAAGACCCGGGCCGATCTGGCCAGCGTCAGGCGGCGCGACAGCGGGCGGCCGAGGCGCAGCGGCGGCGGCGGCGGGGGGCGGGCCTTGCGCGGTCCGGGCGCGGGCGGCGGCTGCCGCACGTAGAGCAGGCCGCGCCGGCGGTCGAAGCGCACGGAGCCCTGGCGCGGCGGCGGGGCGCGTGCGGAGCCGGGCAGCAGGCCGAGCTGCGTGGGCAGCGCGGGGAGCCCGCGGCGTGGGGCCAGGCGCGTGGGCGCGCGGCACACGGGACAGGCCACCGCGTCGCCGCCGCCCGCCGTGGCCAGAGACAGACGAGCCAGGCACTCGAGGCAGAAGACGTGGCTGCAGTCCAGGCACTTTGGCAGCTTGAATACGCTGTCGAAGGGCGACACGCAGATGAGGCATTCCACGGGGGACGCGGGCGGCAGGATGGGTCCCCGGCTGCCGTCCCCTTCCTCCCCATCACCCTCGTCTTCGTCCTCCCCCCTGCTGGGGGGCCGGAGTGTGGACGGCGAGTCCGGGATGCTAGGCTCCGAGCCCAGGGGGACGCGGGGTCGGCGGATCCAGGGCGGCCGAGGGCAGGGCATCTGGACCCGGCCTGCGGGGACAGGCGGTCAGGCAGCGAAGGGGCCGGGGGGAGATGGCAGAGGGGATCTGGGGAGGGTCAGGGGCTGGGCTCTGGAAGGATCACCCCACACAGGGCAGGGGCGTCCAGAGAAGGGGAAGCAGAGCCCAGTAGGCAAGGAGACTGGGAGTTGGGACAGAGTGTGCAGGTAGAGATCTGGACTGGAGGCACACAGGCAGGTGAGACCCAGAGGGGTTCCGAAGAGGATTAGGGACAGGGACAGACAAAGGGAGCACCGCAGATTCTGAGCTACACTTGGGGGATACCCCAGCCAAGAGCCAGGTGGACCTGGGTGACTCCAGGAAGGATCCCAGACAGGCGTGGAGAGGAGACAGGGACTCCCAGGAGAGCTGGGCAGAGACAGACCCTGGGAGACCACAGAAGACAAACGGGAAAAGCAGATGAAAGAGGATGGAAGCTTCAGGATAGGTGGCCAGCAGCCCAGGAGTCAGATTCCCCAGTGACAGACGCCAGCGGGCCAGCAGGCTCTTCCCACCTGCTGGTGCCTCCTCCCTCTGGCTGGCGCCTCCTTGCCTGTTCTGCCCGCAACCCTCGGCCTACCAGCCGCTGGATACTAATTGCTCCTCCCCATGGGAGGGTGCCTGTGGTGGGGCCACTCCCTCCAGATGCCAGGTTCCCACCACACCTGTCACACTGCCCTCCCCGCCCCTAGGGAGGTGCCACCAGGACGGAACACCAAGCCTGACAACGGCCAGATGTTGGGGGTGCAAGAAAGGAGGCACAGGCTGACAGGACGTTGACAGTCCAGGCTCATCAGGAGAGGGGGTCCCCACCACCACTCCCAGTCTTCAACACCTCATGAATCCTCCACCTAGAGCCACTGGTGGGGTGAGTGCAACCTGGGGTATCAGTGGCTCTGGGCAGGGGCAGCGTGTCCAGGAAGAAGAGTGGGACTTCTGGAGTCCTGGGGGTTGAAGGCAGGCTGACCCCACAGTAGACTGGACCGGACCAGCCCTCTCCAGCCAAGGACAAGGGGCTAGAAACTGTCTTGGTCCAGAGCCCAGGCCTTGGCTTCCTCCCCCTGGGGCTGCTTCCTGGCAACACACCTCTCAGGGCAGTGGGCTGCAGCCACCAAGCCCCTCCCCAGACCAGTGACATCTCTGCCAGGACAACCCCACCCCTCATTTTCCAACACCTGCTGGAACAGTCCAGGCAGCCAGGCCTGCAGCCCAGGGTGCCATGGTTCTGAGTCAGTGGTGCTTCCCGAGCCGAGCACTTCCCTGGTGGGTCCAGATCCCAACAGACCAGAAGACATGCCAGGAACATGGGCAGCTCCTCAGAAACACCAGTCATCCTGCCCCTCACCCCCTGCTCCCAGATACCCTTCCCCATTGAGCACAGACAGTGGCACAGGTGGGTGGGGCCACCCCAAAGGGCAAACAGGTTTATTGCAGCTGTGGCCAGGCAATCAGCGGTTGGACTTGGCCACACGTTCCAGCTCATCCTTCTTCTTGATAGCGTAGGAGTTGGAGGAGCCCTGCAAGAAGGGATGGTTAGTTCTAATGTCGGAGGACCCTCCCCTTGAGACTCGCACCCCCGCCCAGGTGTCCTCACCCACCTTGGCAGCGTTGATGAGCTCGTCTGCCAGGCACTCGGCAATGGTCTTGATGTTCCGGAAGGCGGCCTCACGGGCACCTGTGCACAGCAGCCAGATGGCCTAGGGAGCACAGGGGTCCCTGTGCTAAGTAGGGGTTGCCCCTACACCACGCAGGGACACGGCTCTCCAGTACCCTGGGACCCAACAAATGCTGCCTACCACGTTGCCATCCGCAGGCCAACTGAGGCAAGACACAGTGGGAGCCCACAGCGCTGCCCAGGTGCCATGCTGCTAGATCTGGGATCAGACTGAGGGGCACAAAAAAGTGTGCGGACACAAAGGCTGAACTGGGCCCCTGATGATAGGTGACTTAAAACTAGCCGTGACAGGGAAATGCAATGTGTTCCTGGCCTGGAACCCTTGACGGAAAACGAACAGCTATAAAGGGTATGCTTGGGGACAGCTCCATAAACTGGAACAGTGATGTAATGTCAAATGTTAGATTGCTGTTACATTTCTTGGGGGTGATGGTGGGGACAGAACATCTTTATTCTAGGGGGACACCCAATGAAATGTTAATAGGGAAATGGTCAAAACACCTGCAACTGATTCTCAAATGGTCCAAGAAAATAAAAACAGTGTAAAAACATATACCCAAATGACGGGCCCTTCAATCTAATGCTGCCCAGGAGAGGGCCCAGAGCTAGGACGTGCTCTGCGTGGGGTGGGAATCCAGGAAGCCTTCATGACCCTTCATGACACTCAGGTAAACATGCAGACAGAGATGAACATTCCCACTTGCCAGCCTCTGCTGCCCCAGGCAGGATTCTGCCAGAGCCTGGTGGCTGTTCCTGGCCACCCACGTGTGCCCCAAAGCCCCGAGCCCACCTGATTCACACGGCGCAGCGGGGACACGTCCACGGCCTGCCGCCTCACTGTTCCAGCTCGCCCAATGCGGGTCGAGTCCTCCCGGGGGCCGCTGTTGATGATGGCATTCACCAGGACCTGCAGGGGGTTCTAAGAGAGGGGGGCCATGAGCCAGATACCTGGCAAGCATCCCTCCCTGACCCTTCACCCCTAAAACCTGGAGCACCCTGGCATGCATATCGTGGGGCGGCCATTGGCTTTAGGGTGTACTAAGGGCACTCTGCCCCACCTGGCCTCGGGGCCCTACCTCGCCTGTGAGTAGATGGATGATCTCAAAGGCATGCTTGACGATGCGCACAGTCATGAGCTTCTTGCCATTGTTGCGGCCATGCATCATCATGGAGTTGGTGAGGCGCTCCACGATGGGGCACTGCGCCTTGCGGAAGCGCTTGGCCGCGTAGCGCCCTGCACTGTGGGGCAGGTATTTGGCATACTTCTCCTTCACTGCGATGTAATCCTGGGGCAGCAGGAAGAGGGGGTGAAGGGACCACGGTCAGGAGCAGGACGGATCTTGGCAGGGGACCAGAGAGACTGAACACCCACTCAGGGTAGCTCCCACCCACCTGCCTGCCACAGAAAAGCAAAACCGAAGCAAGTGACTTTACCAGGACACTGAAAAGAGTACTTCCTTCCTAATGGGAGGAAGGGTATGGAAAACTAAGCAGGTAACCACCCACGATACCAGTCTTGTTTTAAAAGTGTTCTTCACTCTGCACTGATGTTTTATGTCAACTAACTCTTTGTTCTGGAGGGGCTGCCCTGTGCACTGTAGTATGCCAGGAGCACTCCTCATTACTGACCCCCAAAAATGTACCCCTAAAGGGGTAGAGGCGGGGGGAACTAAGCCAGAGAACCAGTGTTGCAAAACAATCGTTCAACAATTTTGCCTATATATACATACATATGCCAAGATAGTGTCTAGAAACACTAAACCATTCGGGGGGGTTGAGTCAGAGGACTGTCTACGTGAGGACTACTTTTGATATTTCCAGTACGAAACCTACACAAAGTCATTCTACCACACACACATGAGAACATGTACAAACAATGAGTTTCTACAAATACAAGGATTAACAGGAAAAGAACACAGAGGATTCTGATGTAGGCACAACAGTCTGGTGTCTAGCCTGGAGAGGACCACTTGCACAAATAGGCAAGTAGACAGACAGGTGTCCATGCAGGGACTCAAACTGTGCCAAAAAAACCTGAGAATACCAAATGCCCCAGCAAGCGTTTGGTTAAGCTGCTGGGCCCCATGGTAGAGCCCAGCACAGCTTTCAAGAGAGTGAGAGCTCTGATACCAGCTGACTTCTGCTTTCCCAGCCCCTAGGAGAGGACCAGGGGAAAGTGAAAATTAGTTTTTACATTATTAAAGGGTTGTACAAAGAAAAGCAAGAAAAAGAAAACAAAGAAGCAAACACGCATGTGACCTACGAAGACTTTAAACTGGCCCTTTTAAGTTTGCAGACCTCTCCCCCAACAAACTCATGAAGGAAAACAGTTCTACAAGACATTGAGTGAAAAACAGGTTTGAATTCTCTGTTAGGCTCAGTACCTAAGTACCATGATATATTTAGAGGCAACAAAAAGTTTTAATTTCTTTTAAAAGAAGAAAGAGAAAAATATGATCAAACCTGAATTTTATTCGTCATTATACCAATGCAGTCACAAAACATAAATTTCTTTTTATGAAGGCCCCACAAAAGTCCTAATGAGGCCAAGTGTAAAACAGTATGGGGGCAACATACAGTGGGAGAACTCCCATTTCCCAATTGCAAAACCTATTACAGGGCTTCCCTGGTGGCGCAGTGGTTGAGAGTCCGCCTGCCGATGCAGGGGACGCGGGTTCGTGCCCTGGTCCGGGAGGATCCCGCGTGCCGCGGAGTGGCTGGGCCCGTGAGCCGTGGCCACTGGGCCTGCGCATCCGGACCCTGTGCTGTGCAATGGGAGAGGCCACAACAGTGAGAGGCCCGCGTACAGCCAAAAACAAAAAAACAAAAAAAAACACTATTACAAGACAGTGTGGTACTGGCAAAAGGACAGGCATAGAGACCAATGAAATAGAGTTCAGAGTTCAGAAACAAACCCTTACATCCTTGCTCAACTGATTCTCAACAAGGGTGCCAAGACCATTCAATGGGATAAATACTCTCTTCAACAAATGGTGCTGCGCATGGGGGATCTTAGTTCCCCAACCAGGGATCGAATCTATGCCCCCTGCATTGAGAGCACAAAGTCTTAACCACTGTACCGCCAGGGAAGTCCCTTTACCTTTCTGTTCTTAATTTCGCTGATTTCTGTTCTGATCTTTATGATATCCTATCTTCTACTTAGCTTTAGTTGTATTTTGCTCTTTTTATTTTTTGAGGGGTGCTGAGATTATTGATTTGAAACTTTTTTTTCTTTTCTAACAAATCATTATTATAAAAAGTTCCTTCAGTACTGTTCCAGCTTTATCCCACAAGTTTTCATTACAA